ACCGGCCGCTGGCCCCTGCCTGCGTGGCTGAGCCGCCTTTGATCTGGAAGCCCGGGCAATTAAAGGCAGGCAGTTTCACTTCCTGGGTTTCATGCAGCAAGCCCGTGTTGCAATGCAAAGCTGCAAACAGTTGGCAAATGCAATGCTTGCTTGGCATTTTTTTTTTTTTTTTTTTTAATTTGGGGTGATGTTTCCATTAGTCACTGATTGCAAGGGAAATTTATTTTTGAAAAAATTCAGGTTTTGGCCCCAGCCTGACCTGCTATCACCTCCTGACTGTGCCCAAACATACAGTGCCATGAGAAAAGGGGTACCAAAAAGGCTGAGAAATGGACCTGAGGAGAGCGTGGCGTCACGCTGCACACCGACTCCCCAGGTGCTTCACTGGTTTGGATGTCCATCAACTGCACCACACAGCCTCAGTCCCCCTCCTGAGCGGGGCACAGGCTCTGGGGGCACCGTCGCCCCTCTCCAGGACTCCCCCATGGGCATCGGGGGCCATGCAAGGAAGGGGCTTGCTGCTGCCCCAGGCACAGAGGTCAGCCAGACCCCAAACCCTTCTTTGGGTGAAGCCAGCAACGCGAGGGGTGCACTCCCTACGAACCCGGTGCGGGGAGCACAAGCCCAGGAGCATTTTTGGGGAGGTGCCGCAGGTTGAGCTGCTCTGCACCGGGAGCCCTGAACTGCTCGAAGGAAACCCCCACGCCTGCCTGTGCAACGCGGGCAGCGCCTTGACACCAAATCCCCCCAAAGGGTTTGGATGCTTGCAAACCAAAAGGAGAAGGGAAGGGGCCAGGGGAAAGGCTGAACCCCAGGGGCTGCAGGGCTCGGGGTGCGAGGGGGCGAAAGGAGAGCAACCCTGCCTGCGGAGGTACGTGGGAGCCTTCGTCCCCCCCTCCCTGGCTCCTCATCGTCCTGCAAGAGCTGCCTCTGCAGCTCTGCGTGGAGGGGAGCGTGTGGGAAGCGGCACAACCCCCAGAAGGGCCGTGTGCTAATTAAATAAAGATAATGAGGCTGAGAGTGAGATGCCAAATCAATGCTGTGGCAACTCAGGACTAGAGCGCCAAATACCAGCCTGACGTATCGCATTACAAAGCATGCCAAAGAAACTGCCTTCAGCCGGGCGGGATGAGCCCTCAGCTCCCGAGGGACCGGGATACAAGCCGCATTGTAGCAGGTCTGAATGCGAGGTCTAATCCTGGCTCTGGATGGAGATAAAGAGGAGGAGGAGGAGGAGGAGATCTTCAAAGGCCACTGAAAGTCTGGGGAAAGGGGGAGATTTACAACAGGGCTTATCCCATCTAAGCAGTAACTGGGTATTGTTATTTATTAAAATGCCATCTGGCACTCCGGAGCGCTCCTCGCCTGTGCGGTGAAGCCTCGGTGGCTCCCCGGGGCGGGAGAACCGAAACGGCAGCTCCGCGGGGCTGCATCCACACCTCTCCCCATGCCGCGGGGGCAGAGAGCCTTCTCGGCAGTGCCGGGCTGCCAAAACAGGGTAAGGGAACATCCAGCCGAAAGCAGAAAAGGGAGTTGTGCCTCCGGCTTCTCCCAGCCCTTCTTCAGCTGTTTCCACTTAAAACACACGATCATATGGCGGAAAATCTGATCCTACAAGCGCGGCGCAATTTTCCCAGAGAAACGTGAGGACACCACCGCTTCTGCCCAGCAAGAGGGCAGGCTGCCGGATGGAGACGTGCCCGCAGCTCCGTGTGGCTTCTCTGCGTGCCGGGGAAGAAGCTGGGGCTTGGAGGGGGAAATCAAAGGCACTGGGAGAGCCGACAAATGGGTCTCTGCCCGGCTGGGGGGGATGCGGAGAGAGGACCTCGCTCCGGGCTGCAGTGATGCCCTGAGCCCAACCTGAGGAGCCCTCGGTCCTGCCTTGGGATGTCCCTGCTTGGCACAGCCCAGATGCTGGTTGAAAACAGTGTTACCTTGTGCCCAAATCCCACTCCCTGCTGGGAAAGAGCAAATCCTGTGCTGCCTAAGATCTCCCAGACGAAGCAAGAAGGAAACCAGCTCCCCAGGAGCGTGGACCCCAGCACACACTTCTAAGCATGAGCTCTCCACCCAGTGATGGATGCCTGGCACTGGTGTCACAAGACTGATGCAGGGGACCGAGGCACCAAAATCGAGGCTGTGCTGGCACCGACAGTGCTGGAGGCTCTGGTCCCCCAGCAGAGTCGCATTCCCGTGGAGGCTGAGCTCTCCCGGGTCAGCCGCAGCAGCACGGCTGACAGCTTACGCTGCTCCCAAAGCCAGCGGACAGGCCAGCCTGGCCCGAGCCCCACGTCACAGGTCATCCCAAATCACATTGCCCCTGCCAAGAGCAAAGGGCCGGTGCCAAGCATCCCGTCATCGGCGAGCACAAGGCATCCAGTGCTGGGGGCCCAGCTGGCGTCCCGCTCCCTGCGCAATGCCTCCAGCCAAGGGCAGTGGTGACCTTTCTGCCCTAAACCCCAGCCACCCCAGGGCAGGGTCTTGCATGCCAGAGATGGCACCCAAGGACAAAAATCACCCCAAGGGAGAGCAACATCCATTCGGGCAGATTTTTCCTTATCAACTCAATCAACCTGGGATGAAATAGCAACACCAAAGCTGTTGTGGGAGAGCACGGCAGCTGCAAGACCCACATAGGGCTATCCTGCTGCCCAGGGTGGCTCTGCATCCCCAATATCTCTGCGTGCAGGATGCTCTTCCCTCCCCTGCCTTTGTGTCACTCCCCACCCTCCCCACAGCAAGCTCTCGGCGCTGGCAGGGGGAGCACACATCCACATACATCTGCATGGCTTCTCCCACAGCCAGCGCAGCGGGGCCCCACTCCCCACCGGGGTTTCCGAGTGCCTCCACGCAAGCAGCATGAAATCACACTTGCCAGGAACAATCACTCGCCTCAGCCATGAGCGCCGCAGGAGGGAGAGAGGGGAGATGCCGGACAGGGCAGCAGGGGCAAGAGGGAGGTTTTGGTAATGCTCAGGGGCTTAAATGTGCTGGATCCCTGCTGAGGACCATGCCTTGAGCCACAGCTCCTGGCGAAGAGACACATCCCACAGAGGACAGCACCAATGGATGCTAATGAGCATGTCACAGCAGACACCGTGCCAGTCCTGACCATGAAGGCTTTAAGGCTTCCAGATGCTGAGTCAAACTGCAGACCAGTTCTCTGAGATACCACCCTGCTCCCTTCTCAGAGAGCCTGCCCAGCTCCCAAGCCACTGAAAACAGACCGAGTTCAATGCAAAACCGCCTCCTCTGCATCACCGTGTCCATGGACAAGAGCCACGGTCACTCCACCACGGGCATACCTTGGCACTGGGTATCCTTCATGGTCGGCTCATATCCAGCAGCACACGTACACGCTCCCACGGGTACCATCCACTCGCCGTCGCCGCGTTGCAGTACAGCTTCAGGGGTACAGACACCTCCACCGCGTTGGGGATGCAGGTGCCCGGCGCTATGACCAGAGAAGTGGGCTCGGCCCCCGTTAAAGTCTCCGGGAAGATAGCAAAGCCAGCGATGGTATTGGAGCATTTCTTATAGAAAGCCCGGACAGAGATGAGGGACATGCAAGCTCCCAGGTCCTGGAAGGCCAGGTAAAAGCCATTCTTGGAGAGAGGGCCAAAGCTGCGCACCTTGGTGTTCACACGGCCAGACTCCAACTTGGAGAAGCTCTCATCTGGGGCAATTGTATCCACTTTGATATAAGGGTTCTCCATCCAGAAAGGGCTGTTTGCAGAGGCAGAATCCGTATCCGACTCATAATAGAAGAGGTTGAAGGTCTCTTTGCAGGAGCCAGGGATGTTGGGGATGCTGTTGCAGTCCCTCACGGTGAACTTCAGCTCCACGTAGACGCGCTGGACGTCCTGGCGCTGGATGAACTTGGTGCGAAGCCAGTTGTTCTGGTTGGCCTCCCGCACGTTGCATACCTGGTACGTGCGGATGGGGTTCATGGCCTCGTCGTAACCACTGACTTCTTCCCACTGCGAGCAAGAGGGGAGCAGGTTAGACCCCCCAGCTGGGGAGATCAGTGCCACAGACACATTGTGTACGGCACGGGGTGGGGGAGACCGGGCAACAGTCCACAAGGAAGAGCAGCAGCTGCACCTCCACCCGTCCCAACCCTCCTAGTCATCAAGGCGACTAAGAGCAACCTGGGCCAGGGACCATGGCGCTCCGGCTCTGCCGCCACAGAGTTAGGAGGAGATGGTTTCATGAGGCAAGAGGATAAGCATAGGAGGGAAGGGGGAAGACGCAGCCAGCTCCGTGAAGGTGCTGGCAAGCAGCCCAATTCCTGAGGCCGGGGCCAGTCATGCCCTTTGGAGGTGGGGACCGGGGCTGGCTCCAGACTTACCCCTGTCTCCGGATGAGTTGTCCATGCCAACTCAGAGGTCACCCACTTCGTGTCCATCAGGGTCTCTGGAGAGAGAGGGAGGAGAGAAAGAAGTAATTGGAGATGAAGGCCAAGATTAGAGGGAAAAAAAACAGGAGCAGTTGGAGAGAGGAGAGCAGAGTCTGACATTTCTGTGGAAAACAGCAACTTGGGGGGTGAGACGTGGTGGGAGGAGAAGGGAGCAGTGCAGACAGACTCCAGATTTCTCTTCTCCCGTCAGAACAGGAAGAGCAAGGCGTCCCTGGAGCGTCATGCCGGAGCAGGGAAGCGGCAGGACAAGGAGACGGCCAGGTGGCGAGGTGGGGATGGGGACAGGCTGCCGTCCCCAGCCATCATGCCTCCTGGCCAGTGGGGTGGGGGGTGCCAGAGGAGAGAGACCGGGTACCCCCATCAGCACCCTCCCCCTCTGCTTTGGCAGGGCGCATATTTACTGTGGCTGGGGTTGAAAGGGCCCGTTCCCATGACAGGGTGGTGCGGGCCAGGCAGGTTTATCCAGAGGAGGAGGGACTGGCAGGCTGCTCTCCCAGAGACGCCCCACATCACTCATTTTACAAGAGGGGAGAAGAATTTGACCGTCTGGCCAACATTCCTGGAGCAGACTACAAGACAAACCACCCCGGCAGCATTCCCCAAACAGCCCCAGCCCCAGCCTTGGGGGAGCCGAGACGCTTGTCTGGGAAGAGCTGCAATTGCAGGCAGCTGTCGCTAATCCCGGGCAGAGCCGTGCAGCTCCGTCCAAGCACCACGCACAAAACCCGGGATCGAAACGCAAGGATGGAGTACAACGATGTGCTCTGGGGCCGGTGCCAATGGCCCCTCTGTGGGCTGCTGGCTCTGTGACCCCCACTCCAAGGATGGGCCCCATAGGCTGTTTGGAGGGGTGCAGGCACCCCTGGGGTCCTCTGGCCCCTCTCCTGCCTAGGGCGATTTTAGGGCAAGAGGGGTGCAAATGCCAGAGGTGGGCAACAGCCCCCTTGCAGACCCTGGTGTGCTCAGTGGGGCTTTGGTGCCTGCCCTGGGCAGGGCCCAGGACCAGCTGGGAAACACTTCCCTGCTGACGGCATCCCCCTCCCTGGCTGCAGGCAAGGCTCCATCCCAGACACGGCACAGGTCCCCAGGGGTTGTCTGTCCATCCATCCATACGTCCATCCATCCCTCAGCCTGCCCTGTCCCAACACAGGGGCAGGGAGCCATGGCTCTCCAGCCACCAGAGCTGGTGGTGGGCTGGGAGTCGCTTGCTCTTGATGGCTGAGGCACAGGACGTGCTGGGGCAGCTCAGCTGTGCCAGGCACCACAGCTCAGCCCCAGAAGCGAGAAGCAGTTTCAGCTTCTTTCCTTCCACCCCAGGAAAATGACAGGCTGACCAGGCCAGGGAGGAAGCGTGGAGGAGGAAGGAAATGTTCACGCATCACAGGGTTTCGATGAAGCACCTTCCTCCCACATCCCACCCCAGGGAGACCCACCAGCAGCTCCTGAGAAAGCACCCACGGACAGGTCGGGAGCACAGGCTGCAAGTGCCACTGTGGCATAGATAAACAAGCACATTTGGGGAGACACGCGCTCTCCGACCTGCTTCGATGTTTGCCAGTATCCCAGCCTGGTCAGCGAGCCTGCCTCTCACCCAGGCTGTTCACGTGGAGCAAACACAAAGGCAGCCCCATCGCAGGCTGGTGGCACTGGCAGCAGACATGGCACTGGGGACAGAGTGAGGAAAACCTCTCCTGTTGCCAGCTCCCCAGCCAGGAGAGGGTGAGGGCGGCAGCACTTACAATAGGAAGGGCAAACCGACACCAGCTCTTGTTTGCAAACAGGAGGAGCGCAGAACTGGTTATTGGGCAGTGGTTATTTGCCGTTTCTCAAAAGCACAAACTAGGGACATCCAGCAAAAACAAAAGGAGAGAAAGAAGGAGCCCTCCACCAAGCAGGTATCGCGACACTCGTGACAAGGATGCCAGGAGGGCCGGGACACAGGATGTGCAGGACGTGGCTGGGCACCCACGGAGCAGCCTCTGCCGGGTCCCAAGGCACTGCCTGCCCAGGGGATGCAGCAAACCACCATCCCTCTGCCCTCCCCTTCCCCACAGCATCAGCTACTGACCGCTGCAGAGCACAGTTCTGTGCAGCTGCAAGACCTCCCCGAGACACTGCCGTGCTCCCCAGACCCCCACACCAGGCTGGCTCCCAGGGAAATCAGCCGGTGCCGGACTATGGGGGAGTAGGCTGCAGAGCGGGGCCACCCGCACCTCTCTGAGGAACGGGCCCTGTGCCGGCTGCCCTAATAAGGGCACAGTGATGCTGCGCGAAGGCCCGGGCACGCCGCGCTGGCAGCAGAACAGAGCCAACCGGGTGCTCGGAGCTGATGGCGTGCCGGGCTGCCAAGTCCTAGGACCCCATATGGGTCCAGCCAGCAAAGGGCCCCACTCCTGTCACAGGCAGCTGGATGGGTTTTTCTGCAGGAGGGCTGGACCCAGCGGGAGGAGCGGGGAAGGGATGCCCTGCATGCTCAGGACCAGGGTCGGTGCGGATGAGCGGCTGCAGTGATGGGGATCTGGGTGGCAGGGTGTGCTTGTGAGCAGAGTGGCACAAGGATCCCATGGCCAGCCACGGCAAAGCCAGCCCAGACCTGACCATGTGGGGAGCTTTGCTCCCCAAACCCACCCAGGGTGTGCAGGAACTCCCCTGCAGACCAGCAGGCCCCACGCAGGCAGCCCTTGCCATGCTGGTGTGGCCCCTGGACAGGGCACATGGGCAGCCATCCCCTCCGG